ACAAATACCTCAGAAAGAGTATAGCAAATAATTTTTAAATGTATATTTAGATCATTCAGCTAGGGTCATGAGACAGACAACAATGCAGTTACTATTTCTATCATTTTAGGCTAATACTTCTTGACATTTCCTTCATTATTCCAAGGTATTTCCCCTCCATAAAACTATTTGATACAGTACAATGCAAAATACACAGCAACACTGTGGAACTACCAAGTAAAACTGCTATTTTAGCTGAAGAGTTAAAGCTTTGTAAAGAAAAGCAGTCACAGGAGAAATACAATTAATCTATCAGTGGAGAACATTACATCTTAAAGGTGTAGGAGAAAAAGAGAGAGGTAAACAAACCTTGGATTCTTAAGTGAAGAATATTTATCAATTCATAAGTTTTACTGATGAAAACAGACATTCAAAGCCTTTTAAGCAACTATCTTACTTCACAAATTTTACTTCCAAGTTATAGCTCAACAATTAGCCGATACAAATTAACCAACAATGCCTCACAGAAAACAAAAAAGTAAAAATAAAATAAAACCCCAAACACAAAACCAACACACCACCATTAACATTATTGTCCAAAGCTTATTTTGTAAAAAAGCTACTAAAGAAAGGTCAGTTAATTCATCATGATGGATTATCACTAAAATTTATAAGCATTAGCATTTTTCTCCTTGCTGGATACCTTGACTTTGATATGACACATATTGAATGAATGAATCATCCAAGATGCAGGCACCAGGCAAGATATATCTTAATGCAGACAGGTCGGCGACATGAACCCTAATGGTCCTTATCTTAATCTTGTTTAAAAGCATCTTAGATTTCTGAGTAATCTTTTCACCTTCTGATATTCTCTTTTATAGAGTGTTTTTGCTGGAGTTGCTACTGATTTTCACATAAATGCATTTTTGTTGCATAGTATCACCAGTTTTAGTAGCCCTAAAAATTATCTAGGTTTGCAATTCAGTAAATATTAAGGTTAAGCTTATTTTTAAAAAAAGCCAATGTGCTTGAACACTGACAATGGCAATAAAAATTTGTAGACTATCCCATTCATGAAACATGGCATCACAGTTGTTCACAACATAAACAGACACCCATCGAATGTGGAGATGTGTATCTGATGTACTGTTTTCTTCTCATCCATACATTTTCCTCCATTGTATTATTAACCTTGGATATTTGCCATACATATATTTTAAACAGTTGCTCTTCAATGAAAGTGTTTATCCAGATACCTCATTAAGATCAATTCCAGTTTCTCTACTATTGCTTTTTTTGTATTCACATCTAATAATCCCAAATTACACAGATAACAAGGTGGCAGACTTTTCCCACAAAACTGCACTGAGCTCTTTCTGCTACAGCTGCTTTGATTAAAAAAAACAAAACCAAACCACAAAACCCAAAAAGACAGGGATAGAGGGGCACAAAGGAAGATAACAGGTGAATTATTTTTTATACAGACTTTTTGTTGTTGTTTTATTTTTTTCCCCCACAATAACAGCTGTTCATATAATAGGTAAAGATGTTTTTGGGAAATACCTTCTCAAGGTACCAGCCTAAGAAAGTAGTCTCTTGAACTGATGATTAGGAAAGGATGCAGGCTTACAATGCAGTGGACTTGAAATTCTTTACTAAACAGCTGAATAACATCCTACAGAATATAAATATCTTGTTGTAAGGGACACTACAGAGCAAAACATAGGTAAGTGACCAGGACCTCTTCCTGGCAGTAGACAGCATCCTCATAGAAATCTAGAATCTCCCAGGAAATAATTTACCTGAAAAAATGCTAATAGAGAAAAATGCAAGCCATTCGTGGATGCTTTTTGCACGCATTAGCACTGGAAGGAGTACGCGACTAAAATGCTAGCTCCATACTCTGTTGACATTTATAACGTTCATCTCAGATGTTCTATAAGCAGCACCCAGTTTTCTCATCTTACGATCAGGTTAATGTGGTGACATTTAGAAATCCTACTTGCCCTCTATTTATTTGCACATTGGTAACTTTCTAGTAGGTTGATATCTCTTCTAGGCGAATACGAGATATTTTTCCTCTCTATTATGCACCTCAGAAGTCTGAAACAAATAATTAAATTTCTGCTAGAGCTTGTTTCTCAAGCTCTAACATGAATACAGGAGCTGTCACTCTCACCAAGTATTGGTAGATTACTTCTTTAACGTATATAAAACAACTCAAAATTCAAGACAAAATATAGAGAAATAAGTACTATTCATAAAAGCCCCTTACATTTCAGACTGGTACTATTCCAAATAGCATCACGAATTTTATTTCTGCCATAAACCAATTTTATTTCTGATATCATGTAATGAAGTTCTGAGTAACAGGACAAGCAGTAAGAGAACACTGCCTGGGTGCTCGCTCCAGGACCCCAACATCATTCATGACAAACTGTCAGACAGGGTGCTCAGCTCCTGCTGCTTCCTGTGGCAGGTGTTACACCCTCATTCTTTTCATTTCCATTCCCATACAATGAGGCCAAGAAGTGCCGATTTACCATTCCCACAATAAAAAAGAACTTATACCTATATTTTATTAAAGTGAACTAAAGTCTATGAAATTCAAGTGAACTGAAGTGGATGAAAATGCAGTAAGACACCATTTCTGTCTCTAGCACTCTCCTTATATGTAAACAAGGAATGTAATGTACCATTTACTACATGAATTAAATTAGTAATGGGCTTTCCAGAAAAATAAAATTAACTTTATTTACAAAGCAAAATAATTAGGGGTAATTGTAACGGGTAAAAATGTGCAGCATGAATGCTGGAAGTGAGGACTGAAACAGAGCCATCCAAGAAGCAGGGCTTCTACTGTGCAAAGGACATCATTGCTGCATCAAACTAGAAGAGAACGTTGAACTGACAAAAGGAATCTGTAAATGTAACCAAGCTGCAACCCAATGTACATGCCTAAACTCAAGCCCCACCAAATTACCTGGACAGACGGTACCCAAAATTGTCCTCAGCCTTCCAGACATTTTAAGAAGACTTTATTTTTCACTTATTCCAAAGTTGAAACTCCAATTCATAAAACAGATTGCACCTTCAAAATAACCTGCTTAACTAGTAATAGTTAATTTAGTGGCTATGTATATTAATGAGATCTTGATAGTGTTGAACAATTTCTTTAAAAGCTGCAGTTTTTTAAAGCGACATAGATACTTCCCCATGAAAAATCTCTGAAAATCAGTTTTGGAATGCATATGTGCAGGTAAGCAATATTCTGTATGATGATGAAAGAAAAATACCTTGTTTTTCCTGTACTAATATGCTTATGCTTACATTATTCTGCGTTTTCAACATATTAATCTCAGACTTAAAGCCAACCCAATCCAGAACAAAAGAAGTAGAATGAAAAAGGGCATCCATAGAAAAATATTGGCAATGTGATTTTAAAATATCACCCTTCAATTGTCTGCAATTTATATTTATCAATACTTTCACTAGGATCATGGAAGTGTTCCCACAAAGAAAAAACCACTCAACATGTTTAGCTAGGTGACCTTTCAGTAAAGCATAAGGGCAGTGAGGGGGAAGGGTACCAGAGCTGTCCAGCAATCTCGTTCCTTCTTTATTAAATGTCATTACAAAGTCTCTCTATGCTTTCAATTCAGATTACTATTCTCATAGAAACTTTCATAAATATTTGTCAGATCTGTGTACCTATGATCAACTATCACATACTGTTCAGTATTATATACTTTACTAAAAGAATAACGACAGTGAAAACTGAAATGTGGTCCCATTTCAAGTCTTAAATAAATGGAATGCAAAATTTATTTTCCAATCCTTAACTTTCCATGTAAGTACAGAGTTTTGTGAGCTAGGTTAAGTAAATTTATAGTCAGTAATCTGCTTTTATCAATGACTGCACATTACCTGGTCTAATGTGGTCACCTAATGGTTACTGTCAGTAATTGCACTGATGACTGCAATACTTTACAGACACCAGCAAAGAAAAACCCCTCGCTTTACAGCCTCTTCAGTTAAACAGTAAAACTAACATGAAGGTTTCAGAAAAGAAGTAGAAATCGTTTTTATTTCATTTTTTAAAATATTATCTGTTCAAGAACCTTACAGATGAGGGAATTGGTCTGAAATTTTAATTTCCATTATGCTGCTGTTTTTGTTCCTTTGGCAAGATTTTTTTTTAGATGTTTTTGGTTTGTTTCTTGAGGAGATTTTTTTAAATCATAAATGATGGTTTAAAATAAAAAAGTCACACTCTTGCTAGCATTACAAGAAAAATGGGCATGAATTACAGAATGATATTGCAGGTTTATATTCCTCACAGTTGACCATAAATAACAGTAAGAACTAATAGAGAAGAAAGCAGAACTACTGTGTGGTAGAGATTAACCATAATTAGATATCTGTTGTCAGTGAAATTATATATTACAGAGTTTGAAATTGAGAAATTTGATTCCTTTCAACCAATGCCAAAGAGCAATTCCCTCCTGACTCAAGAAAAATATACTAAAATCTCCAATGCAGTGAAATGGAACAAGAAGCAAGGAAAGAAGAAATTAACTGAATGAATACTGCATTCAAATAGCACACAAAGAACACGCAAAGACATTCTTGCTGCTGACTTGTACACATAAAAGTTTCCTTTTATAATGTGTACTTACATGAAGAAGATTTTTTTTTCTCAACTTCAAAACATTCAGGAAAACAATTTAAGAAAAAACTGCAGATCAGTGGCTTTTTTTCTTGGTAAAATTAATTGTATGCATTAACTAAGATAAAGATACCTGTTGATAACAAATCTGAACATGTTTTTTTCATTAAAGCAAACTTGTATGCCATCCAAGAAATTACAATACGATATAACCACAATGTGTTATTACAATACATTTATTTTATAAACATTTATAGATGCTGAAGCACAAAGCAAAAGATTACACGGTACATTTTCAAGCAGAGTGTGTATGTGTTTAGAGGAAGAATATGAATTAAGATTTCCTTACCTTATAGGATGGCAAAAAGCACAAAATTCCTTGGCCAACTGTTTGGCACACTGAGAGCAGAAGCGCTCCCACCTCATCTTGGAACTCAAAGGTCTCTGCGTGCTGGAACGTGGCACGCAACTTCCGACCGTTTGGGCCTGCTCCGATGGTGCCAACCCAAACCTGGTGTATTTCATATTTAAAAAGTTAATTCTAAATATGCGACAAACTGTATTAAATGACATTATGTCAAATAACGACATTTTAAGTGCACAGGAAAATACTGAGATATTTCTAAACAAATTAATTCCAGTACTTCAAAACAGAAGTGCAATAACTGATATAAGATGGCTATTACCAAAATAGCATGACTTCATCTCTTCTTAGGGGATTATGTATCTAAAAATTGCCCCCTTTTTCCTTTGAAAATTTACTTTACAATTGCATGACTCCAAGCAATAGTTTGTTCTGCATGTTTCTTTTTACTTATGGAATGGGTTCATCAGTGGTTTTATTTGCAAGTTATTGTTTCTTGTACAACAGCCAATATCACACCTCAGGAGATGGACCAATGCTGCAAGAGTTTACCTGTGAGTTCTGAATAACATGATTTGCCTCCAACTGAATAGAAAACTTCACACCAAGCTCTGAAGAAAATGAATCCATTGGAGAGAGTGTACCAGATGTCAGAACAATCGTTCTAACATCACTCAAGTCTGAGAAAGCCTAGGTTGGAGAAAGAAAAGAAAGAATTTAGACAATTGATACAATCACTTTAAGATCTTTTATGCATTTGTTATCACTCAAATTACTTAAAGCCTTCTACTTAACACTCAGCGTACCACAGCAGGATTCAAGCACCAAAAATTAAGCACATGGACTAAGGTTTTCTGCCGCAAACTCCTTTTGTGCTTGGGCCGTGTAAAGAAGGCAGTTGTATCTGATGCATCATGTTGATTTTCATTCACCCAAGTGTAAGTTTGCTGCAGCGCAACTTTGTAGTCATCTGCATACCTAAATACAGATACATAAATTTCAATCAAAACTAAAATTAAGCAATCAAACTGTAAGCATTAAGCTCATACAAAGCAAGACAGTGTTGCTAAAATCCATTTACAATTTCAGTATAAAAAATAATTTTATGCTTTCAGAAAAAACAGTGCAATTTTACAATAATTAATATTTTAAAATTAAATCAGAAATGTTTAGTAACTGCTGGCATTAGTAGTCAAGATAAAGAGAGTCAAATGACAAGTGCTATGTAGAAAAACAAAACCCATGCATATTTAACCTGGTAACACAAAGAAAATGTACACCTAACCTTCAAATAAATTTCTTCAATATTTGAATTAATTTATTAATAAAAAAATAAAAATGGTAGTATTTAAATTCTTCTCACATAATTAATTTCCCAAACCTCTCTGAAATGTTAGTTTTGCTCAGAAGCCAGACCCCGTAACTGAGGTGTTGCACAAATGACAGAGGCAGTTTGGCAAAGCAGCTCAGACTACGTATCTGCACTGACCTGCTATTATCTTTAAAGAGACATAAAAGAACCATGAATAACCCTTTCAGCACAATCTGCGTGGCAGGGCTCACTACTGGTATCTCAATAAGTTCCTCTCTACCGAGCACTGATACTTTGTCTTCTTTTTCCAGGACAGTAGCAAGATGTTTCTGCAAGAGGCAAACAGATTCCACATCAGCAACATTCTAAGTAACTTCTCAAAAACAAAACTAATACAGATAGAAGAATACCAGCACACTGTTTTAAAAGTTTACCAAAGACACCTATAAAGTCAGACTGAAGAGAAAATTGGAAAAGAAAAGTAACAACACTTTTAATGCATTTGGCTTAAAGCATTAAGCAGAGAGAAGCTTGAAAATAGCGTAAATACATTTCAACATTAAAAAAATGCAGATGGACAGAACAGACAAAACTATCACTGACTCAGTGGTTCAATTTAACTAATTGTACATGATTATATATATACACGATTATAATTATATCCTTTAAAACACTGATTCTCCACAAATTCTAATTGCTCAAGTGGATTACTCCTGGTTTTCATCAGGTATCAGCTTTTGAGTGATGCAGTAAATTAAAATGTGTTAGTATTTAACTTCTGTACATTCTAAGATCTTTACCATAATCAATGTTATGCACTCTGGTATTCATTTATATAGCACACAACATTACCTGTAAAATGGGAAAATAAATACTGGTTATTCCCATTCCGTGCAAAAAGGCAAGCATTTCTTTTCCACTCCAAACATTACAGGAAGTTTCATACCCTCTTTCCACTAGTTGACTAGAGCTCTCCCGTAACCAGCTGTAGAAGACAGAAATAAGGAGTAATTTCAGCATTAATTTTAGAGACTTAGAGATACGTTTCAGGTACAAACCAAATCAAACCTCAAAAATTGCACCAGACTTCTATGATGATGATAAATATTTTACTACACCTAAGTAGAGAGATTCTGCTTTTCCTTATGCCAGTACTTCACCGTTGAACTAACTTCCACAGAACTGCTCCTGATGCAGCTCATTAAAGCGAGAAGAAAATTTGTTCCTATACATTTATATTTTATTATCATAGAATATCTTTACAATAAAGAAAAAGGATTAAAATATAATCTGATCTTAGAGTATAATACATCAAGTTGATTTCAGAAAAATTTCTGCTGCACTTTTGAAGACTCATTATTACCCTGACTGATGCAAGCTGGTTTATCATCCCTGTCAACTGCAGGCTTTCCTATTAGGAACAAAACTTGAGGCATGAATTGAGTACTTTTAATATTTATACACAGTACAGGAAAGTGGGGCAAGAAAACGTGTATATTTTAACTTACCTACAGGTATTTGTAACTCTGCTACAAATTGAAAATTAAAGAGAATTATCACATTTTGCATTGTACATACGGTTATAGGACTTTATAAAAACATGATCTAAACCTGCAGATCATCTCATCTGTGGCAGAGCTAAAATTTTCTCTAACTGAATGTGTCCTCCATCACCCCTGCAGTATTACAAGACCTTCCCTCTGCCTACAAAAGCAGGCAGGCTTCCTCCCTTCTCTCAGGAAATGCCGAAGCTGTCCGTTCCATCAGCCAGCAGGAGGCATCAGAAAGACAGCTGTCATTTCCAAAACAGTTCAAATATTTCCCTGTAAAATCAGTTAATGTTATCAACTAAAGCAACAAGGCTTAGTGACTGTTTCAGTTCCAGATTTCATGTCCTGTCACTGCAAATAATCTGATCAATGGAACAACTGGGAAATAAAAAAGCTTTGCTTTTGCCAGGTTAAATGCAAAAAAAAAACCCCACACATAAGTACTACTGTGACAATCACTTTTTTGGCTATCATTTGCCTTATCTTATTAAGGAATGATGATCACTAACACAAGCAGAGCTTCACCACTGTAGCACTCTGCCCCACTTCCTCAAACACAACATCAAAAAGACCTGGAACTAAAATTAGGAAAAGACCACTAATACAGAAATGAAACAGATTTACAATAGACAAAACATTTCTGGAAATGTAAAACTTCTGTTTCCCTGTTATGATCTTCAAACACCATCACCTGCTTTTGAAGTGGTCGTGCTTAACGTAACTTCCTAATACTAAAACATGAAAAAAAGCAAAATCTAGAATAAATTTCATCCAATTAAATCTAATGTTAAACACTTACTTAAAATACTTGTTAATTTTTAGAGTAAAGCACTAAGCATAAATAAGATTAGCTTGATTCCCAGAAAGATATCTATGGTTTTAAAATGAAAATTGGCATATGCACTACTTTCAGGAAAAGATTTAGCAGAAGTTACAAACATGCTTTCAACTCAAGACAGTGTATTTGCTCCTTCCCTCCCTACCAGAAAATCCCACTGTTGATACAGCTTACTGCACTGAACAAACTAATTTGTTCTGTAAATCTGCATCCCATCAGAAAAGCTTGCCAGTGTACCTCTGTTGGTATATCTTCAAATTCCTCAGAAGGGTCATTTTAGCACCTCTGTGGCACTAAGCCCATGCTTAAGTGCTTTCTGGACCTAGGGCCCAGGATCTTTGTAACTGAAATAAGATTTTTCTAATTACCCATGCATTTGGCAAAGCCATGTCACTATGCAACAGCATTTTACCAATTACTGGCCATTTACACCCAGCCTTCTGCTTTCCAACAACTACTTTTCATGCTGCTGGCAGATTTGCCAGGACAGTCAACCTTAGTTTTTCTGATAAGGTTAAAAAGCTTGAGGCAATCAAATCTCCAGCCATGCTGGTTTTTTGTTTTACTAAAATTTAACATTTGAAATATCCAAAGTAGGAGAATTAGCTTCCGCAAAAAAGAAAAAAGGCACTTGCCTCTGTGACACAAACGTTAACTCTCAGAATAGAGAAAGGATAGGAAAAACGGTGAACTATTTGCTGTAGTGTATTCCAAAGAGTCCGTTTCACCAACCACTAATGCAACAAATGACCATCTGACACGCACTGAATCAGAGTTCAGTTAACTTCAAAGCCACCTGTATCATTATCCACTTGTATTCCTTGTTCAAGGTTTCATTAGCAGTGCATTTCTGAACTCTTTCAGTCCCTGGATCCCTCAAAAGAAAGGTTTAAAAAATAAGGGCTACAGAGCTGAACTTCAAATTCTCCAGTGGTGACAGACTGCTGATGTTGTTTCAACTTTCTCATGCTCACACTCCACCCGAAAGACTTTTGCCCTTGACACCTTCTTTCTTTTCCTTCTTCCTTTTTCCTCCTTCAGCTCCCAGTTAATTTGCTTTTGTTCTATCCCATATCATGATTGTCAACTTCTACCTTTATCTCTTTGCTTAAGTTCAAGTTGTTTCAAAAGGAAAACAAAGGGCATGACTGATAAATTCACTTTCAACTATAAAGAATCCGTTCCAACTAGATTCCGATTTGATTCCAAGAACAGATTCCAATCTGTTCCAAACGCTTCCTGTCCAAGGCTCTGAAAGCATTTTATAAATGTGAACTAGTTAATGCTTTGACAAAATAATGCTACTGCTATTTGGCAAATAAGCGAAGAGAAGCATGTGAAAGATAAAAATTATTTATCTTAAATGAAATTTCAAAAATTCAAAGATGTCAACATTTTCAGAACTTCACAAACTAGGACAGTAAGGCCCATAAAGATGAGCACATCATTCAAGACCACAACACACTTTTCAAAACAGAATTGCAAGGCCTTCCTTGGAGACAAAAGTATTTTTCAAAAATAGATCAAACCCTCAAATTCCTCAAATGACCAAAAATCAGGCGACTGCATATTCTGAACACAGTAACCAGTAAGTTGCATCAGCAAAAGGAATCTAAATGTAATTTTTAAAAATACTAATAGATAATACAGAATTAGAAAGAGTTGCCTTACTTTATCAAGGAGCAGCATACAGCCCGTAGAGGCTCATGATCCTTCTGCCTGATGTTGTTATTGACCATGGAATCCAGCTCTTCTCGAGCAGCTCTTAGTTGACTTTCTGTGACACTGTAGCTCACCGACTCCCGAGCAGAGTCCTCGATATTATGGGCTTCATCTAAAATGACTACGTGGCCTTTTAGGTTAATATCCATCTAAAAAAGAAAATTATTATCTAGTAAAACAGTGAAAGACATTAACGAGAAACAGCAGCCAACAGGATCCTGTTAAAAAAGTGTATATTCTGCATCACATTGTAAGCAACAGAAAGTTTTCAGCTTTTTGATCCAATTTCTGTAGCCTAGAAAATAACTGGGGATGGGGCAGATGGGGGAAAGTCTAATCTCAACCTGGATGAATATAATCTGAACCTACTACACTCTCCTTAACCAAACAGTTGTGAAGTTTGCAAGGGTTTCTATTCCACTGAAAAAAACCAAACCATATGACTGATCAGCTAGGGTATGAGACCAGTGTAACCATTACTTGGAATATGGAAATGCTCATTCTAGGGGGCAGGGAAAAGAGATAGAAAATAACTCCTGGGCTAAAGAATTTTTTTCTAGATAATATTTTGGATATAAATAGGCTTTCAGTTGGCCGCAGACACAGAACATCATGTTTGTAACTTCTCTTTAACCTCAGTTATTGCAATCTTCTTACAAATATACTTACGCTTTCCCGTATCTGCGGGTCTAGGAGATAATTATAAGGACAAAATACAATATCTGCGTCTAGCATGAGTTCTCTGGCTGCAAAATATGCACAGGCACGAAGCTTCTTTCCAAGGCACACTAGATCTTCAATGTCCCATGCCTGATACATCCCATGTGCAAATTGTTGGGCATAGTGTTCACTGACTTTATGAACACCATGGTAGTAAAGACAGGACTTGCCCTAAAAGTAAATAAAAGCACAAATATAGTTGGTGGTTACAAAAAATAATGAAAAACAAGTAAGCTTAAATCTTCCAAGTCGTTATGTGCATTTTACTTTATTTCCCTGAAGCATTTTTAACAGCTACTTTTAATGTCAGACAATGAAAAACACATCGTGCTAGAAAGAAAACAGGCAAATCCATGTTCCTAAAATATACATTGATAAAGGACACTTCTTTCTTCATCTATAAAACGAAAGAGAATTTATGTCTTACTAAAAACATTAGCCTATCAACCGTAAAGATTATTCCTATCACATACGTTTTCAGTATTGATACCATGTATCAACATTTTCTAACAATACTTAAACCAAATCACAAGAGGCAGTTAGCCAATATAGTATTAAAAAAGTAAAAAAATGTTACTCATTCCAACTGTTCAGCTACCTTTCATTTTAATACAAATGCTCATTTTCTGAAATTAAATTACTCACCTGTTTTCCTTCCAGCAATTCTACACACATTTCATTCCTGTTACCACCACTACTCAACACCGCTGGATGAATACAGGTATAATCCCGGCTAGAAAGAATTGTCATAGGGACACTGGAATACGCCGTTCTCTTCAACTCTCTGGTAATCTGGGATATTTGCTTGTGTGTTCGTGTTCCGAAAAATATTTTGGGAATGAACGACCGATCTCCATTTTCTTTCTTCTTTGTATTACTGGTATTTTTATCAGTTTCTTTTCCAGAAGAACAGGAACACTCAGTGCAAGGGCCAGAAGACTGCAACCCAAAACAAAAAAAGATTAACAAAACCCTACTGCAAGATGACCATGCTAATTCTGCTTATAGTCTACTTCAAAAATGCCCTCTAGGATAGTTCAAGACAGCCTATTAAATAACCAGGTTGGCCTATCAAAGGGCAAAAAGTAAAAATGTTAAAACTCACCATGTCCTCATGCCTAAAAATCTTAAAACACTTCTAGCAATCACTAGATATAACTATATCACAACTCCATCTTATTATTCCAGTGGAGTACTTATACACGTGAATAATGCCAATAAACTTCTCACATTTAAACTTCAGCATAAGGCCACTCCTGTTAAAGGACAAGAAGCAGCCAGCAGCTTAAATGAAAAAAAACCTTGGGACCAGACACCAAAAATAAAATGCTGAGTATAGTTTTCCTTAAAGCAAGCTGAAGAAATCTGGACAGTTTAACGTAATCTGTTTGCAGATAAAACAGACAACATCATATACTCTCCCTCAGAAACATGTTTGCCACGCCATTATGTCAAAGGCCATCTAGCATTTAAGAGATTAAAAGACAAAACAGGGAATAATTCTAAACAGAACTTAATCCTGTGTTTGTTAAAAGCCAATTTCTTCCTTAGAAGTTATCATCTTTTGTAATATAAAATACTGGAACAAATGTAATGAAATTGTAATAGTGTGAAAAACCACACAGAAAACAAGTCAGGAGTAAGCATGCCCACACACACCTCCCATAAAAATAATGAATTCTAGTGTAAAAGACTTTGTATTTGGTTTTCAGGTGATAGCACAAGTAACAACATGTAGTTGCCTGCTCAAATATGCCTTCCTCCCCTTTTAATTGTAATCAGCAAGATTATCCATTATAAACAAATGCTAAGTCATGCCGTGTGTTAGACCACAACTCTGGGGATCAAGCTGTCTTTAGACTCCACTCTGAGGAAAAGCAAAGTCATATTACCCTTAGTCCTTGTCCACCATTAAATATTACAATACATGATAGAACGCATGTAAATGTAACCCGTCTGGAGCTGTCACTCACTGGGATAAAAGGTTCACTGATGTGCCAAATAAACAGGCCCTCAAAGCAGATAAAGTTACACCCATACTGGAATTGTTACACTCCCCTCTCAGGTTGCCAGTAACAGCAGATTTCATTACGGTGTGCTGCCACATTAAATAGCCAGTTCCAAATATCCTGCCTTCTATATTGAATAATTACTTATTCACTGAAAGGATAAAAAGAAGAGTTATGAATGGGGCTCTTGTCAACAGCGAAGCAGGAAACAGCTGACATATGGTATATGTTACATATATGGCAATTCTCAACTCAGTTTGTACTCACACAGAAAATGGCAATGCAAATTGTACCTTGATATTTCTATCATCTATATTCTATTCTGCACTTTGAAATAATTAAAACCACATTACCATACTATCAATTAATATAACAGAAGCAGTTCATTTACTGTGTATGGCCTTTAAGAACACATTTATCTTCTCATTTTAATTCAAGACAGACTGTGTTTTCAGAGGTAAAAAGAACACACAGAATTCAAAGATGATATCAAATCACTAACACTTCACTGCTAATGCTAAGCCTCACATTTAGTTTGCCAAATGAAACTAACAGAAAAATATTAGGACGAATCAGGCAGCTGTTTTTCAAAAATTGTTCTAACAACAAGAAAATGCAGTTCAAATACATAAACATGAACAGAAGGCTCTTCTATGATGGGTTTAAAAAAACCACAGATCTATTTCTTTTCATAAAAAGAATTAAGTGTCCTTATGTGTAAGAGTTATAAATTACAGTATTTTACATGTGGCCTTAAAAGTTTTTCTTAAAAGGTTTGAAATTGGTATGACACTGGCTTTAAGAAGCACTTTATCCAGTTTAAAATGTTGACTTTAACTTTGGAAAAAGTTTTATATAAAAATCAACATTGAGAGTCGTAAACTCTGACTGATTTTATAGTGACTGATACAAGTACAAGACTGCGTGCAGTAGTCCTGACACACACAGCCACAAACATTAGCACAAAACACACAAATAGAACCTTTTTAGAAGGTCCTTTACAAGGAAGAGACCTTTAAGAAAATACTTAAAGTATAGTTTAAAAGTTGAGTTCTTCATGTTATTTGCATGTTATTCAAGTGTGTCAATCTACATTAGAATTCTTCGTTATCTCTCAGAAAACCAGATAAATCTCTCAGATTTATCATCTTCAAGTTTCATTAAAAACAATTTTAATACCATATTTCCATTAAAAGAATTTACTAGTGATATCACATAGCAAAATATAACGTGGTGTTAATCCCTCATTCCTACAGCAAAACGAAAGAGAATACTCTCCAACTGAACAAAGCGATAACTCAAATATGACAGTTCCCATAGCAGTGTTTCCTTAAAGTACCATTTTTTTGGAAACAAAGATACTGGTTATGCTATAATAAAATTAGAAAACGTTTCAATTTCTTTATGGAATAATTGGGGGGGGGGGCAGGGCTGCGTAGAAAAATTAAGGCAACAGAAAACTATTTCATAATACCCTCCAGCTACAGAACTAAACCTGTTTTCAGCTGTTTGAATCTAGGACAGAGATTTTCATTTGAGAGAGGCGGGGAAAAAGATACTCCTCCGCTTTCTGCAGTATTTAATCAGAAACATCCAGTAACAGATGCTGTTAGAGATCAGATACCAGACTATCTAGACCTCAGGCTAATCCAGCTTGTTTTTACTTCTGTCAAGGGGTAGATAAAACAGCCTATCACATCAATATTTATATGGCAAAAACGTGGAAGTCCGATTAAAAGAAGAATAATGAAGTCCACCAATCTGTCCTACGCATAAAATAGAGTTAAACAAACACTGAGGCTATGATCTTTGAAACAAAGAGATAAGAGGAGCTCTTCATATCTTCATCTACATTTCCTGGTTACAAAGCCATCTAAATGATACAGCAGTGAATACCTCTTGTGTGAAATAACACACAAGCACAATCTAGTAAGATATCAGCAGTGACATTACCAGAGCTTTTCAACTATTCCTTTCTAAGCTCTCAAAAAGCACAGTATTCTGCTGCTGCTGCAGCCTCTTGATTAAAGTACACAAAGCAGCTGTTTATCCTCTCACAGTAACCAGCAGGTGAACCCAGTTCAATATTTATCACAGGCTTTCACAGATCACTGCTAACCAAGCAAACGTTTTAATTAAGCTGGAACTTGCTTCAAAGAGCTCATTCAAAATGTCAATCAGCAGCAAAAGGATCAGATACGGTGTCAGGTGAGAGCGTGTAATACAAATCCACAACTTTCTTCATCCCATCGTGGTAAATTAGCCTATTCTGGAGTCCAGACCCAGATTGCAACAGGCTGCCAGTCTCCTGGAATGTGTAACAGAAGTCACTCAAACTCCATTGTGAAGGTTGTAAGCAATATGTTAAACTGCAATGGGCTAGCACATTAAGACAGATTCTTTTCACAGTTGTTTTTTGATACCCCAAGTGTTTGTTACACTGCTCTCCATTTACTGTTTACTTTTTTTTACCTAGTATAAATGGGGATTCCTTAACCCAGCTGCCCCAGTTTCTCAGACCATATGCTTTGACAAAAGTAATCAAGAAAGTACTGCACGGGTATAATTTCTCATCTCAACTCACCCTAGAACTGCCCTCTCTTACAAGAATTAACAGCAGCAGGACAGAAGTGGATTCCTAGGCTCGAGGCTGAAAGTTCTTGGGCAGAAGATCCTCACCCACTGGATCTACAGGGGTTCTGGTGCAGCAACGCTGGGCAGCACCTCTCGTGCTCTTAAAACAACCAGCCTGTTCCCTCTCTTGGGCTAGAAAAAGGACTTGACGTGAAACTAAATTTGCTTTAAGCACATAATTGACTACAGTAAAACATAACTTATCCAAAGGCAGGGTTCTCTCATAGATTCAGAAGTTATTTTTTATTGCACTCTTGCATCATCCTAAATGCTTAGTCCATTACGGTAACTGTTGAACACCAACTCGCTTGGCTTCATTTCATAAGCTACACTAGAAAAGCATTTTTGTACCTAACAGCTGTGATGCTCTTCATGTCTTAATGTAGTTAAACAGCAGAACTACTAATGATAAGGCCTTACTTTTTGTAATTATTTCTTGATAGTAGACAAGTTCACAGCCTGCTAAAGTAAAAGTTCATCACAGAAATACCTTATTCTTTCATTCTTAGAAGAAACGTCTTTTAAAAAGAAATAAGCACTCCTTTCATTCTAAAAAAAAAAGCTTAACAAAAAAAAACACTTCTTTTTCTTCTTAGGTTACTTCTTTCAAAAGAAGTAGTAAACAGTATAGTGCTTAAACTTTGAATGATACACTGTACTGTCTACCTGCAAAATCAGACCCATGGGTAGCACATTATAGCAGACTCACAGCTCAACTACTGTCAAAAAAAATACAGTTTTCTTAGAAAATCGAACTATGATTCAGTATATAACAGTTTATCTATACTAAATTTTTCAGTTTTCTTCACTACATCAGATTTCTACAAGTTGTAAATCAAGTTTTTCAGGTACCCACACCAAAGTACCAAAGCACATTTTACAACCAAGGAAGGATGGTCTTTTTCTTTGTATATCAACAGCACACTCTGCTGGCCTCAGTATTTCAAACCACCAATTCAAGTTCAGTGGCACAAAGAATTTCAAATACTACTCAAAAATCTATGGAACTTTCCAAAACTGATAAAAATTACTTCCCATCAAATGTCCTAGAACCCAGATTCATTTTTGTCAAGAAAAGATTTAGCTTCCAGTGCCTGAAAGTAATCCCAAAGCTTTTGGCTTTTTATGTGTTTACAAAGGCACGGTATACTGGAAAACAGCTCTTGAAGTTAAAATACACACATACATATTAAAACAGAAGCTAATTTAAGACATGCAAAGGGGCAAGTGCTGTTCGAAGAGATGGAAAGAGAATTGAATTTGTTGAAACGAAGCATATTGCCAAACATACAGAAAAAACCTGCACTTAGAAGCTGAGTTACCTACAGGTAGCTATTACCATAAGACATAAATACATATAGTTATTGGAAAAAGAGAATGTTCTTTGCCATTTGAAAGAAGTAGATTTCTGTACTGAAGAAAGATATAAAGGTCAGACCTCATTCCTTTCTTACATTTGTCTTAAATGTACAATTTCATGATTTTATGGTGTGCTCCTATATTTTAATGTTGACAAGAACTATTCTGTCACAGCTTTGATAAGCACTCATGGGAACTACACCACTAATAGAATTCAGTGTCAACATTCATCTCTCTACTGCCTTCAGATGTCTTCTACTGGTTTAACTTCAATAAACTTTTACGTAAAATCAGTAAGATTTAAACACCGAGAAATGCAGAAAATGCCTAGCAGAAACAGCTGCAAATTTTTATCTCAGCTTCTTATGTGATACTTCTGCTATGGCAAGTCGTAATTAAACAACCAAAAAAACCCACAAACCCGAACTCAAAACATAAATCCATCGCAGTAACACACTGAATTTCTTTCTTAATTTTGTGCAATACTTATTACATATTTTTTGTTATAATAAACCGTAACGATCAGCTCCAACTTTCTCCATGCTACTCTTTAAAGGTCTAAAAGGCACATGTTAATATGGAATACCATCCTTTCATTCACTACATGTGCCACAAAACAATGGCAAGTTGAACAAAATCTACAAACTCTGACGTCACTTAATTTCCATGGTCCTTGTTTCAAGTTCTTCCATTATATCATAAATCTACTATAAACTGGAATATAACACACAGACTTACATCTGCTGTACAACTGCTGACACCGGGTGAAAGTTTAGAGGCTGAATGGCTGGGTGAGATTCTGCACTACCAGGGAGCCACAATGTAAAAGAGTTCAGCCCACTGTTTAGAATGACTTTCACAGACATCATCTACACTTTACAAACTCCATTGGTTAGACAGCACCATTAGGAGCAAAAGCCACTGCAGTTCCCACTATTGACAGTGACAACATATTACTTTAAAGCATCTTTCTTACTTGGGAACCTTTACATTAGGCTGTAATGCAGCTGGAGGTACGGTGTTTTCTGTAACTGTATTAACAAGCTGCATTTCACGCATAATCTCTTTACAGCAATTTTTTTTTTAAATTTCTCTTAACTAACAGTCCTGATGTAAAAGACATGACTATACTACTTACTGTTTTGGGAGAAAACGTGGTGGTTTTCACACTTTTTTCAGAGTGAACAATCAGCTCTCCATTTTTCCGCTGACGATAAACTTCCAAAGCATCAACCAGCTGCGCTCCTTTTGCAAAACAATGACGTTTTCTAACCTGCTGGGGAAAAAAAAGTACTCTGTGTGTGTTCAAACACACTGGGCAGAAGTACGTGCTTACACTGGCAGTCACCGATTTTGTTTCAACTGTTTTCCACTGAGTCTGTTTCAGTAACACCGCAGCACTAATTTTCATTAACTGTTTAACCAAATCTAAGCCATCCAAAAGTAATCTGGGGAAAGCTATTAAGTTTTAATTACAAAGTTCAGTAACAACAACAACAATCTGCAATTATTGCTGAGCTTTTCGTCTTTATAAGCAGAAAACTTCTATAACTAAAACAAGAAGTAAATTCAAGACATCTTGATCTAAAAACTTACACAAAAGTAACCATCTGAGAAATACCCTAAAGCAATGTAAAAGCTATTTACAACGCGCTTCTGAATACAAGTACTCAGTCATGGGATACCAGCAGTGACACAGATGGAAACATTGCAGAAATACTGCACTCCACACATTAGGACAGAAATAACTACCTTTGGCAGGATATAGCACAGAACTCTAATACATTCGCACTATTTTTCTGTATTTCTAATACACATTTACAAAAGCATTTTCAACTCCAGAATCTCGTACTTTGACTTAATATTACAGATCAGCTGCGGATTAAGACATTTTGGGGCTATTAGGTGTTTAAATATGCAAGATGTAATTTAGGCCATGGTATTATGAACAATTTAGTGCAACCACGGACTCCTCTGTAGCAAGTAACAATAAAAATGAACAAAAACCTGTCAATCTAAACTCTGACTGTTGCATGATTCAACTGTTCTCTGTGCTCTTCTCTGAAACGTGGATTGGTGTTTGACAGCTTTGTTGAGCTACACCTGGATTATTTTACTGCCAATAAACATTGCTCACCTGGTGCTCAGTTTCTAAAGGACGAATCCTTTTCCTGTCTACTTGAAAATCATCATTCTCATTGTCACACAGAGATAACCTTTTTTTGGCAGACAATCTTGAAGCTAGCGTTTCATTTTCCTTGCATTCTGTAATTAAAAATCAAACAAAAAGGTTTGTCCACTACTAGGAACAAATTAAATAGGGTTAACATTTTAAAAATGGAATTTACTATAAATACACGTGATGTAGGAAACAATATTAGACATTTGTAGATGCATTAACCACCATTTCCATACAGATTTCCATGCAGGGCAGAATCATGCAGTACTCTGGTATTATCATGGTAAAAACAGTTCCTGACTTGAAAGCAAAAAAATTGACATCACCGGCTATGTATTTTACTTCCAAACCAGATTTTTAGCTGCCTATGTATGAAGTTACCTGTGTTTGTTAGCAGGCTTCCAGGTTTTCTAGAAGTTCCTGTTTCGTAATTACTAAAAGAACAAGAAGCACCATGATTCACACTTGTTGCGGCCTTGTTGCTCTCAGATTGGGAATGACACATACAGCGACACGGCGGTGAGGCCTCTGGCTTTCTGTCTTCCTTTCCACATGACGACATAAGCAGTGGTTTCTCTAAAGGCAAAGGACACAGACAATTATCTTGCACTAAAAACTACTCAAAACTATACATCAGAATTATACTTTCAATATATTTAAGGTGAAATAATTTGTTTAGGTACTAGTTAAAAGCCTTGCATATCTCTATGAAGTCTGAACAAGCTATGAACTGCAGTGCAAAGAACTGTAACAACTTGCAGAACTGAAAAATACTCCTTCCTTTCAACTACTACATTACTAGTGCGTAACTACAAGCCACAGGTATTTTCTTCCAAAATTTCCACAGCCATATAATCCCCTTATGATCACAGGTAGCTAAATCCAGTTTAGTATTACCGGCCGTTACTGTTTTATGTTGACAATAAGGCAACATATATCATGGTGGACAAAGGCCTGGTCAGGTTTCTGAAACCAAACGTTTAAAGACTGATGACCAACACCAACAATGCATTACAATATATTTTCATAATAAAAACTGGGCAAAGAGACGCTAAGACAACTCACCGTACAGAGACCTCTGCCATGACAATGCAGAGCAAAGTAACGCCAAGCTTTTGCCGCTTCCTGTAGGGCTCTCCAACAAACAGTGCTGCCTGTTATTTAAGCCCTTCACAATCTTTAAGGAGAATAAAGAACAAAACCAGGATTAATAGAAAAAAGACCAAAGAGGATGTAATTAGCGGATGTCTAGAAATAACTTCTAACAATAGCTCAGAACACCTGCTGTCTTGTAAAAAAAGAAAACTAAAATGCCTCCCAGTCACCTTTAATAATACCAACAGGTCAACAAGCCTTAGCTGTGTTTCTCGTGAGAGGAACACACCTCACAGCAATGCTCAGAGATTTACCTACAGGGACTGCAAATACTTACCTGCTAACAGCAATACCTGATGGGGCTAGCTCGATTTCTTTAGTCTTATAGAACACTGAAAACATCTGTCAGACAACCAAACCATTTGTCCCACAGAGAAAAAGGGTTTTAAAATGTTTAAATGTAAAGTGTAATAATTCATTTTAAAAACTCTCAAAAAAGAGAAAACCTGTTGAAATATTACATTATGTTCAGAAGACAGAAGTTTTACTAAATTGTTCCCTTCTTATATACTCGCAAAATTACATAAAATTTATATTACAGTATAACTGGTTACGGAAACATCCATTTTACATAAAACATCACTTATTTCTTGGTATAAATGTTCGCCAATCCAAAATGTATTTCAGCATTCCCTAGTCATGGGCCAGATACCATCTGACAGCAAAGAGAACAGTAAGTTACGTTACAACTGAAATTCTCAAGATATTTAAGGCTCTGAATTTAACAAGTTCATTTTCTAAATGCTGATAGGTACTGGAAAACATAAGCTATTTAGCTTATCAAATATTAATATAAATTCTACTTACAGCATTCATCATAGCAAGTTGTGAAGGGTAAGCCTTGCAAGGGAATACAATCTTCACTCCCCCAATAGTATATTCTGACACGTCAGATGACATTGTCACTTTTTTCCCCTGTTTACTTCAGGTTTATAACTGCAATAAAACCCAGCGTGAACAAGCCAAGAATAACAACTGGGGAAAACCTAAAACAACATATGGCACCACACAAGAACATGCAGAAACTGCTAACAAGATAAGGGGGCTAAGCGGTTCAGGACAGTAACGGAACTGGCAGATAGGAATTTACACACCTCCAGTCCAGACTTGGTCCTCGTTACAAATGAGAGCACATTACCACCAGCAGATTGATGAGTAGCAATTGAAATGAAAGTATGAAGAACTGCACACATCATTTCAGATTTTGTTTCTCAGACTGAATACTGTTGGGATAAGATCTCAAATCCTTGGAGGGAAAGTATTTGGGGATGTTTAATAACTATAAACAGTTTTTCACTTCTGCAGGTCCATTAGTTTGAACTCAATGTCATTGCAAACTAACAACAGGAGCTTGTACCGTTCATTTTAAAACAAGAAAATAAAACATTTTAAAACACTTTTCTTCCACTAATAACACTATAATCATTCAGGGGGAAATGAGGTGCCATTCACTTTACTATTTTGTGAGTATTTTACTGCATTCCTCTCATTATTATTCCTCTGGATAATAAAAGAAAGTCAGCTTCCCTATTATGCTAAAATGTTAAAATTACCGAAATAAAAATACTGAAGTAGAGATGGCTTAAAAAAAGATCACATTGTTTAAGCACAGATTTTTTTTCATATCAGATTTTCAGCATCTACAAAATAGAAGAGCAAGTTTACATTGTAGACTCCCTGTAATAAAGTAACCCGTGCCCTCATCTGATTTTTAATGAGTAAACATATACATCAAAAAACCACCAACGTGTGGCATGATTCAGCTTCATCATCAGCTTTCCCAATAGGAAAAAGAAATCCTAGCAAAAAGGGATTGCTAACGTGAGTTTACATCCTACCTCTCCTTCCAAAAACATAACCTCGCCCCGTTAAAAGACTTTTCCCTAACACATTCAGGGGAGACCACTTAAACGAGCACTACTTTGAACTACAAAAAAAAAGAAAGCCCCCGTCGGGGCGGTGGGAAGGATTCAACACCAACGCGGGCAGGAGGCCGCAATAGTCCGGGAACGCTGAGAGACCCCTCGTCCCCGCCTGCTCTGCTCCGCTCCGCCCGGGCGCTCCTGTGGGAGGACCGAGGCTGCTCCCGAGGGCGATCCGGACGCCAACTTGGCCCTGCTCCAGCGCAGGGGAGAATTTTTCTACCTCGCTGCAGCTGAGGAAGCTGCTGTCATCCTCCTGTACGCGTCACCCCAGCCCACACAGAGGCACCTGGGCGTTTCCTTTATCTTCTGTAAGGAGTAGGAACTCCAGAAAGTCCCCTTCCCTTCACGTCCCTTCCCTCACACCCCATGCAGAGCAGTCCCCTCACAGCCGCGCTCGGCTCCGCGCCGCCGCTCACCTCAGGCGGCGGCACCCCGCTTCGCCGTCCGTCCTTCCCGCCTCCGCCCCTGCACCGATCAGCTGACAGGAAAGGGCCCTCAGGCGCTAATCGGCAAGTCGCAGACTCAGCCGCTCCCGCCTCCCACCTCTACGTTATTAGAGCCAATCACTGAGGGCCTTGTTGGCTTCCTGGTTGTACTTGTTGCTCGGCAACCATGCGTTTAACGTGGGGGAATTGTATTGCCAAATATTTTAATGCTTTTTACTATTTACCTTGTTTTGAGCATGGCCCGATGAAGACACCGCATTGAGACAAATCAATATTTCTTTTTAGTCAAGTCAGTGGCTTATAAATATTGCCATGCACAACAGCGCCGGGGGAGGAGGCCTCAACTTTTCTGTTCCCATGGGGGATTTCCCTCAGGTGAAATTTGGTATAAATCTACAAAACTTAATATCAATACAGGCAATTGCCTTTGAAAGTCGTACACTAGGTTGTTTGTCCTTTTTTTTTTTTAATTTAAATACCACTACAGCATATAAAGTTACACTTGGAGAAAAAAAAATACATACATTTCAAGTATTTACATACTTTACATTAAGATGACAAAAATGTACTTGGTAGCCAGACAGTGTTACCGTGTGGTTACAGCACACTGGTAATCCTGGAACACAAACCCAAGCAGGTTTGGCAACTCAGTGTCAGCCTTCCTAAAACACTGCCCAATGGGGCAGAAGACAAGTTCTGCACGATTCTCCCAAGGCCGCACTAAAGAATTCCAGACCATTAAATTCTGGAATAGAAACTGGTTTTAATGGAAAAATATTTTACTTATTTAAGGACCCTGAATGCTGTCATTGAAGAAAAGAGCAAATGCTGGATTGACAAGTTTAACAATTGACGTGTGTTGAAGTACTATGTTCAATTCTGACCCAACAGCCAAATCTTAGTTTTCCTTTCCTGCTGGAAGAGCCCATGCTGCCACACGTAAGAGCTTGCACAACCTTCAAGGAACTCCCAAACGTTGCACCACACACCCACTTCTGCAATGCCACACAACACTTCTGTCAAGGCTGAATCCTGCAACTTTGGTGTATGAAAGAACTTCCTGCATGAAGCACAAAGGATTGAGCCTTCTTGTCCACTGAGCAGCACGTAACCACTTGGATAAGGCTGAAATCTGTCATTCCTTTCACTATAGGGAAATGTAGCTTCTGTGACAGTCACCCTCAGCACTAAGGTCTTGTTTTTAATCTTATCCTGATGACAACATAAGATACCTTTGCACTTATTTCTTGAAGTCTTTCTCACATCTTTTAAACTAAATGATGTTAAAAGATACTAAGCCGTATGAGCTGCATTAAAATTCTTTAAAAATCACATTTATACAGCTCATCTTGTAGTGGTACTTTTTTTAAAAGAAACTTTTAGACCAGTTTCAAACTTTTACAGAAGGCTGGTTCATCTTTAAATGAAGTTCCTGATCTCACGAAATGAAACTGTGACCAATGGTTTGAAACACAAATTAAAAAAAACCACGTTCAAGCATTTTCTTAGTACTCAGTGTTATGGTACAAGTAACTTGCACCACTTTTTCAAATCTTCCTTGGAGTATTTTATTCCATCTTGCTCTGCAAGGCTCTGAAACAGTAGTTCATTTAACTTAAGCAAAGCACTTAAATCTCAAATTTTTCTTACCATCCTTTTGCTGTTTGCTCAACAAATTAAGTAGACACTTTTAAGAGAGTTATAAAACCCTTTTGGGTGTCTTGCTGTATCACTTCAGAAACCAAGCAAGTCTGAAAATCACACTTGGTTTCACAGGAAATTCTTTACTGACCCCATCAGCCTCAAAAGTCTTCGCTGGAAGCAACAAGCCTCTTTAAAGAATTCTTTTCTTTTCAGCCATAACTGAACAAATGAACTGAACAAATGAAAAACACGGACTTCTTGTGCTCCAGTTTCTCAATCCACTTTTGCAGCTTTCTCCAAATTTAGGCACCATTGACTGTGGGACTAGCTACAGTACAATTTCATTTGTGTTCTTCCTAAACTCCACTTACGCTCATGTTAATTATTTCGATGATAGTATTTTCCACACACTGGCATAACTGAACATAAGGGTCCATGCTGGCAATGTCCCTTGAACAACTTTTGTCAGATGAATCTTTACAAAGTCCTGACACTTCAAGTGGTTTCTCCTTTAGTTGCTGGAGACCTAGAAAATTAGGCAGAAGCAGCAAAGTACATATAAATAAGTAATTTTTAAAAATTGTTATATTACACCCATAAACAAACATGCATGCTATGAAATTGCAAATTTGAGCCATCACTATTTTATACATCAGCCTTAAATCCACATAATATTTCTAGATACCCTAAAACATTTCTTTTTCATTTACCTATGGGATTTTTATATTCCCCTCTTACTTTTTTATCATAAACATACTCACACAGGCAGCATCAGGGAACCTTGTATCATATGAACAGAGCATTTGTCTTTAGACAGAAAAAGAGACAAAACCATGCTCAAGATCATCCGATACACTTAAGTGGTTAATTCACGTTCACACAATCACTGTATATTTATCCAGCCATGCTAGGTCATGTGTAGCTTCAGGTAGCTCATTTGACTTTGCATTTCCAACAGATCAGGAAGACTTATATGGCCATTATGCCTCAGCTGAGAGGTTGAAACATCCTCGTGTACTCTAAAAGCCAATGGCTTTTGCTCACGTCTTTCATCCTTGGAACAGCAAATTCTATGCAAAACACTTGCATGCAGAAATACATCTTGAAATGATACAAGCAGGGAAATAAAACAGAAGGCAGTACAAAGCTTAGTGAAAGGAATGCCTTCAGTCCCCTTAGCCTCTAATCTCTCTCCTCCAAGTCAGTAAATCCACCTATCCCTATTCCTTCTGTATGTACAACAGCAGTAAACTTCATACTGCATTCTAACTACACTCAAACTTTTGAAACATTAACCCAATTTTCTCTGTGGGACCATGATGTTACTTTTGAAATCCAAGGTTATTTTACTTACGTGTAATAATTGGGTCAAAGTCTCTTGTCTGTGTAGCAACATCAGAGGCACACACTTGTCCTATTTGTATCAGCAGAGACATAATATCCTCATACAGAGGAGGAAAGGCTTGACAGAATGACACCAGACAAGGTAGGGTCGGCATAAAAAAAGCATAGCGCTTCGACTGGGTTAAAACTATCAAGGAAAAAGAAATGGTTTAAGTAAGAAGAAACTATTATAAAAATTCAGTCAAGGATTGTTGTTACTTTCACAATTGTAATTCACACAGCGGCATTTAGACAGAATTGCATTCAACCTAGACAAATAATTCTAACAAACATCACAATGTATTCAGGGCTTGCTGGAGTGCTCACCTGTGAGTAGAGTTCCCATCACATTAATTGCTAAACGAGCCACGCTGAGAGATTTTGGTAGTGCATACTGGATACACAGAAATGAAAGTAACTGGATGGCAAAGATCTGGTGAGTGGGTGAAGACAAAAGAGAAATAAGCAATAAAGTTACAGATTGCATTGTATTTTCTATCCTAAGCTCTTCACATAACTAACGAGTTAGCAAATAATAAGCCTTGACAATAGTTATTGTGAATTTTTTTCTGCTGACATTAAGAAAAAACTCCTACATGTATTTAACATTAATCAAAGTACCAGCATTAGTGTTTCAAAATCTCCCCGACGGGCACAATTTGTTCCGACATTAATGATGAGCAACAAAGCAACACACAATTTACAGTATAATCCTTGTAAAAGCTGTGGAAGGTCTGAGACGTTACAGTTTTAATTTAAATAGCTGAGTGACCTCTCATCAGCAGTAACTTAGTATTTGAGAAGGGATTAAGTAAGAGCAACTATAAAGTTGCCTTGATACAGAAAACAGAGGAATCTTTAGCCCAATAAATTGTAGTTACCTACAACTAGCCAAGCATGTAATCTCCCCTTGTATACTAAATCTGGGTCTACAAATTGCTTTAGAAAGTAATAATAAATTATTATTTGCCATTGTATTTCATAATCGTCATGAGAAGATCTTCAAAAATATTGGTGAAACATTTCAAAATCAAACTCCTGACTCCTCCCTTGATCTTCGGATTCAAACAGCATAACTCTGAGGAAAGCTGCACATGTCATTCTAGGAGGATTTGTTCTTGCAGTTAGGCCAGTAAGACAACTGGCAGAGGAGAAACTTAAATTTGTTTGGAAATTTACACTTTATAGTCTCATTGCTAGCTTGCTTCAAGAAACAGTAGTAATATTCCCTGGAAAAAGACTTAATAGTCAAATTTTTCTTAAGAATGAATAAAATTTTGATCTTAAGACTGCTTCATCTGTTCTACAGAATATCTTTGGAAAAAAGTTTTTCAAAATGTAAATCTTCGTAGAAGTTCCTGTAGCTATAAAGTGTCAGATAAAAACTATGTAGGCAAAACTTTTGCCAACTGATTTATACTCCATATGAAGAAAAAATAGAAGTTATTACAGAAATGTGCTTTTATTCATGTTCTTATTGAAATTAATGAGTATTTCCTGAACAAGTGTAAAGAGGTATGTTAAAGGAGTTGTCACAATCTCTGTTTGGAAGGAATTTAAACGCTGTGCCTTTAGTTTAAGGTAAAAGTTCCATGGATGTTCCTTTAATATCCTAGGCAAGTTAGAACAGGACTTTTTTTAGCGATGTTTTCATTTTCTTCCCTTAACCAATACTTCACCAGGGTTAACCTCTCACAGTGGTTCTCAAACGAGGTGACTGTACAGTACCTGCTTTTCCAGTTCAGGCTGGGCTATGAGCTCAGGTATGAAATCCAGACAGATGTGCATCGATGGAATCCCCGCCACTGTCAGCGCCAGGAGTTCACATGGATAACCCTGTGCGATGTAAAAACAGATACGTCAAAGGTGTTTTAAAAATTCTGCTTCAATTAAGATTTTAAAATAGATCTGCATTAATGCCTTTTTAAAACTATTATACTTGTAAATCTCTTTTGTTCAGAATTATAAGCAACAGGCCTACATCCCGAGGCAACGTGAGGCAGGCTGGGTGACAAACCCAGGGCATAAATTCTTTATCTTCAATACTCAACATATTATTTGCATAGAAACTATCCTTCCACTCCTCAAACTAAACCAAGATTTTAGTGAACCTCTCCTTCTGTGTCTTTCCCCTGTCTTCCAAACTTCACCATATGCCCCAACTTGGTTATTTCACGACTGCACCTTTTTGACTTTTTTAGTCATTTAACCAGTGCCAGGTCAAGGCAAATTAACTCCTTTTAAAGAGACTGCCATCTGGCAATGAATGATTTAATACACATTTCTACTAAAAAATTTGCTAATTTCCCCCCCCCCTTCTTTTTTACTTTTTCTTTTTTTTGAAGGCATACAGCTGTTTTGGCAGGGGCAACCTTTCTCCTTCCACTGTAAAGAGATAAACTGTGCCCTAACAAAAAGGACAGATAAGAAGATGTTTACATTTGAAGCCAAATTACAGTTTTGAATAATGGGTATACTAATCTAAAAACATGGCCAGAAGAAAGTAAACCACAAAAGATATGGAACAACCAAGATGATTAGACCAGTTTTCCTTGGCCTAGAATGGACAAACTATTTTGGTATAAAAAAGGGCAGAGGCACAAACAAAGCATGTGTTTAATGATGAGGAACAGGCACAGTTTAGCTGCTCCCTTCTCAGCTACAACATAAGAGTCCAAGCACCAAAATATGGAGGAAATGTAGGTAACTACAAATGTGGTCAGATGGGAAGCAGAAATGTGGGCCGTTATCATTTCTGAGGAACACAGCAGCAGCACTCAACAGCCTTTGACCACTTCATTTGTTTCTTTCTTAACCAGAGAAACCATGAAAGAACTAAACCAGTGCAAAGCAGACCTGGAAATGAACCAGTTTGACGATGTTGGGATCAGCTATATACATCTGATGCAGGAGACAGCAGATCAGACACTGGACCTCTCGAAGATTACACAGCAAGCTATCTTCTTCTTCTAGTTCAGGACTCTTAGGGCCTGTGGTACTATGAACACTCTTTAGCAAACTGTGGGAATTACTGCTCTGGGCTTTTTCTTCGTCTGTAGGTAAGCAGATCTCTAGAAGAATCTGCACAGCAGCACTGTCCTGTGGAGAAAATGGGCAACAGACCATGCATAAGTAACCCCAATGAAACCAAAGAAATCAAATACGAACTAATGACAATTTAAGAAATGGAAGACTGTCAGGTGGCTAGAATTTTGAAGTATAGATTTTTTTTAATATAGAATAAAACCAACTCATTTCAAGAATCACAAATCCTGAGAAACTTTAAAAAAACCCCAACACTTTATCTGAATCAAGACTCAAAGGGAAAAAAAAGCTCAAATCCAACAAGACAATCATAATCACAGAGCAGAAGAGTAAATTCAACAGAATCTCACTTCAAAATAAATATGCAATGGTCCCTTAAAGCATCCACATCCAACAAAATATGCACACAGCCATGTAATTTGCAGTATTCAGGGGAGACTACACAACTCATTTGAATACAAAACTTCCTATTAACTCAAAAATAAACTTCTAATGGGGAGTATATACGTGACATTCTTCCAGATAGAGCTAAGAAGAGACTGCCTCTGACAAAGGTTTAGTCAAGAATTCCAGAACATCAAGCAATGTTAACCACTCTTCAGCCTCACACTTTACAATGCTGGCTGCCTCTCTCAAATAACACAGTTCAAATGATCATGCATAGGTCTGTCACATGTAGTCATGTTTTACTGCTCCAAGTCTAAGCACAGAAAGAGCCTCTGGATTACTCAAGCAACAAAGCAAGAAGGGCTAGTATGCAAAACTCTTCTTTTTTCAAAGCAGTTAACTAATACAATGCTTCAGACTAGAAAACAGAAGACAGAAAATATTTAACAATCTGAATACAGTGCCAGTTTTCTTTTTCATGGTAACAGAAGTTAGTAGAAAAAGAAGTCAAAAGCTCTCCTTCTTCGTTTCCTGTTTCTGTATTTCTGCTTTTATCACTGTCTTTCATGACATCATTTAACAACCATTTCTTCCCCCTTACCTGAGCAGCTAACAATGCATTTTTTAATTCTTCCCTCGTAACTTCTGGGGCCTCTGGACCCATTGCACTGTTTTGGGATGGTCTGATGTCCTGCTCTGCAGTTTCTTTAAGGTGAGAATTGAGGAAAGCTTTTGACGCTAGAAGATATCCATTCAACATGTGCAAGGTTATATCCATGAGAGGAGGACTCCTGATATGGGAGCACATGACAGAATAAAGGCATTTCAGTAGGCAGAACAGTAACACAGTAATAATATGAACAAACTAAAAACAGTCCTCAAAGGCTCATTTCATTTGGTTGTAGCCTGGTTCATACTAAAGCTGGTTTTCCTAATCCAGCAAAATACTAAAGGTCACAATCCCTCCTGCTGCCCTGCTCCTCTCATGCACACACGTGTACGCATCCACCCCACCAAAACAAGGAACTGCTGAAGAGACTCATTGCTGATGAACAAAAGAAACCTGAAATGGGTCAGCTGTACGTGAAATGAGGTAAAATAATTACCTGAATGATGGAAAAATAAGGCAGACAAAGTCTGAACTGCTTCCACAATACTAAGATGATAGGTTTCAAATCACCTTGCATTATAAATCTTCTCTACAGTTTTAGAAACTTAGGATTTTCAATCTGCACCCAGGGCTACAGGGATATACATCTAAATATTTCACCTACGGGTTGGGGATTAAAGATGTCATCAACAGAAACTTGAAGTCTAGCAGAGCTGTAGCAACTCAAACGAAAACTGGATTCACGGTTCAATTGCTAACAGGCAAGGGGGGACAGATGCATACAAACAACAACATGAAGAACAAATCAAGTTGACTATTAGCCATTATTGTGAACAAAAAGATAACAAAAAAGGGGAAAAAATAAACCACAACTGACAGAAAACATGAAAAAGAATACGCAAGGAATAAAGCTAGTGGCTAAAGTACATTTAAAATTATTAACCGTATCTTTTTAGAATAACAGATACAATTTCCTTCATTAAAATGAAAAAGCAAAGTTATAATTTACAAATTCTGACTTACTGTTTACATTATTTCATATTTGCCTTAAAAGCTGCTCCATTGCTATCAGTTATCATCATTTTCACTACTTGAATTCTCAGCTCATTCTGCATCGGAGCCATAAGGCAGCATTAGACACTCTCCTCTGTCATCACTGACATCTAGCTAGAGGAACTAATTTCTAAGCACTACTAAAAGTCTCCTTTGGGAAATCCACTGCTGTCATATCCATCAAGTACCCCCTGGCTGAAACTGGTACCCTAAAAGATGGAATACCTGCAGCCCCGTGAGGGAAAAGACAGCATGAAGTGGAAGGCTGTTACAGCCACAACCTCAACCACCACCACCACCATGTGACAGCAGCCATTTCAAGCATGCTGCAATGTCTATTTAGAACAAATTCACATTGACAAATCTGAAATGGATGACCTATGTACAAATTCCAGAGTTTCCAAAACAGAACTGGGTGTAGGGCTGTCCAACAAGACACTCAGCTGGACAGCGTGACATGCTGAAACAGCAGGCACAGCTCGCTCTGTCCTCAGACCAACAAGCTTAACACAAAAAGAAAAAAAGGAACTTACAAGCTCATATATTTATTCTGAAAATATCTTTTGAAGTACTGAAAGCTTTTAGAAGTTTTCTATACAACACTTTTATATTTAGCATTCACTGTGTATCAGTGTAAGTACCTCAGAAGATAAAAAGCTAAAGAAGGGAGATGCTTACCTATGAACTCTCTGATCACATCTTAGTACAATCAAAGGATCAATCATCAGATCATTCTGAGTGTATTTCTGCTGTCGGACTACTGAAGGCTGCAGAGCATTAACAGTCATCACCCACAGTCTAAAATGAGATTATTTTAACGATATTTTATTAGATAATCTGTATGAGAAAAGCGATCATGTAAGCATGTGGACACTCAGTTAGCTGTATTGTTCTAGGCCTATCAAGGAGCACAACCCCCTTATGTATTCACAGGCCTTGAAGTTAACCAGGATACAGTTAACTTACAACCACTGGAATTACAGCAATCAAACTGTTTTTACTGCAAAAGAGCATCCACTTCCTCAGAAAGTGGCATTACACCTACCTGCAACAAGCAACCAAACAATATTTTGAACCTACCTTCTTGGCATCACAGTATTAAGAACCATCCAAAGTTTATTGACAGTCTGAAGAATCCTGCGAGGGACCCCAGCATTCAGCAAGTGATTCATATTTGATGTCAGTACTTCTGCATATGGGATCAATTCACCCGCTGAGAGAAGTGTTAAATGTTCTAGGATCTGCATCAGCTGGGTATGATTTCCAGGCAGCATGGAAAATGCTACAAAATAAAGACAATGGGATCTTGACAAAACCAGACTTCTGACATTTTTTCTGACTTGGCAGCAGAATATTTTCATTATACAAATGCAGCATGATCAAATTAGCTAAACAGCCACACACTTCCAAATCTACTATATTACAATCCATTTGGAAAGAACACTGCTTACTTCAACTGAAGTTATTTACCTTCTTGGAGCTGTTTGGGAGAGTGATTCTTTGCCATGTTTGTAAGAAGCATCCTCCTCAGTAAGGCATCAGTGCCTGTGATCTGTTCCTCACAGATCCAGTCTTCCACGATGCACAGGTGTGGATAGTTAGTTGCAAGAAGGCGTAAGAGCGCAGAATGCAAACCTTTAGGGGCATTAAGAAAGTTCACGTCTTAGATTTGAGTAGCTACATTTTTCACCTGAACAGGTTTGTGCCTACCTTTTCAACAACAGACCTGAACTGAATCACTGCCAAGAAATTCAGTGAGCTCACGTGTTTATAGCTTGACATCCTAACTCCAACAGAAAGGAAAAGTAACATTTTGGAAAGGTGGCAGGACCCTACAGTAACTCTTAATCTCAGTCTGGAATAATTAAAAATTCTCAGGCAATTCCTACTCTAAAACCTACACTAGGTAGGTAACACCTACTCTAAAGAGAGCTGCCTTCCTCAAACTTTCACTATAACTCTTCACACATATCTGTAACCTCAGTAGTTACTACTGACTGATTTTAAAAGAAAGGAAGGGGCACTGCAAAACAGATTATAGCCACAGAGCTAGAAACATGCTAGAAACACGCTCAGCCTTCCTTCGTCGTGCACATTAGCCTTTCACACACAAATATACCTCCCAGTTCCTGCTGCAGTCCCTGTGCCTGCCGGATGAGGTACTTGATTGGAATCTGATCCATTAATGCCGAAGAGTAAGACTTGGGTTTTTTCTGCATGGCAGCTGTAAGGGAACAGGACAAGAAACCACAAGAAAAAAATATTTCCCCAACTGAATCAATAAAGAAAATGTAAAGCACTTTTCTCTATAGCATCCAAGTAAAATAGAGAAAATCCCAAATAAAACACTTAATTTCTCTAAAGTATTGAATTAAGCTCTTCAGGAAACCATTTCTGTGAACATTTCCACTTACAGATTTTCCTGGCATTTAGATTTGTTCGCAAGGTCTCCATACTATCTTTGATCAAGTCCAAGTGATTTTGAGATCATAGCACAAATCTGGACCTTCTTTATTAAAGGTTTTTTTATTCTTAAAAAACCTGGTTATCAGTTGGTACGTGGAACACCTCGCAGTAAGAAGAAATGTATAAACGCAGGAAAAACTGTAATTGACTTCATAGTATTTCAGTCTTTGAATAGCGTAAAGAAAATAGCACTGAAGAATGCTGGAAGTTTCGCACCCTAAAAAGGGCAGGTAAAAACACTCACCAGATAGAAACACCATGTTTTCACTGAAACAGAATTCTGTCAATAAGGTACACATTTTTTAGAATTGATTTAAAGCCTCAATTTCAAAGGAAAAAAGAGATCATTCAGTATCGTCAACTATAAAACTGCCAACTCAAAGAAATGTGCATGCAAGTTTGATGACACATAAATAAATGAAGATCTGAAGTAATTAAGAAGTCTTTGTTAATTGTTGCTGTTTATATTAGATGGTCATAACCATTTCTGGCAACTCTTTGGACAGCTTGAACCTTTTTTAATCTGGGAAACAAATTACTCAACTATAGAGTTTTAGCAGAAACCTTATGTCTTGCATTTCTACAGCAGTGCTGTATATATTACAAGAATCTAAACTTTTTCCTGTTGTGCTTGAATCTGACAGCAACATGAATTTTGGTTATTTTAAGAATTCCTCTCTTTGCACCGAATTTTCAGTTAATCAGTTTTACTGTGATGTACCTAGGATCTTTGTGCTTGCCAGAAGGGCTTCTTCATACGACAGGACGTAGTAGAGGACAAGCAATTGTGTTGTGATGCTGTATCGTTGGGTAAGACGAGTATTTTCTACCTGTAAATAAAACCACATACAAAGATCATGTTGCATTCCTGATTCTTGAGAACAAAAATTTGGATTTACCTGCAAATATGAAGAAAGATAAGGCAGTAAGCCTTGTATAAAAGTACTAAGCCATATGAGGTCCAAGCTGAAAATTGCAGGGAACTGTTGATTTGCTTCTTTTTTTCTTTTAAATGAGCTTCAAACATAAAATGTGGTTTTGATATCTTGGGACACTAATAAGGAGTAATCCCAAGTTACCAATGCAAGTCAATGCTTGCCACTTACTCTACATTTGTCCAGGTGACAATCCTCCTACTTCTATCAAAATGAAAACGCTTATTTCAAAAACAGCTAGAGTGCTTCAGTTAAACAGCATTTTTATCTATGATCAAGTCAGTACAAAAATTATACAAATCCTACATGAACACCTCCAGTTTTCGATCCATGCAGTGCTTTTCTTTGTATTTTTTAACAGCATGAGCTGATGAGTTCCCAAGGAAAAGGGCAAAACAGGGACAGATAACAATCCTAAAAATCTGAGTAGCACTAACAAGATTCACTTCAAAACACATGACCATCGCTGTAGCAGAAGCCATTAAAGACAAAAAGTGAGGCAACTTACAGAATCTGTGTCACACACTTACACAAAATACTGAACCACATGGTCACATTAAAGCACATGGAAAAAGCAAACAAATCATTTACCCCAGAGAGTCCTTGAAAAACATTCAGTATCTCCTGTTCCGTGACAGGCTGATTTGTGGCCTCTGGGTTGGATTTAGATGCAGGAGTAAGAATAGAGTTAATGTAAACATCAATGAGAGGAAGCAACTGAGGATGGAGCGGAGTGGTGGTTTCACAGAGCTGTCGATAGATCCAGTCCTACAAAAAACCATGCCATTACACGTTCTGTTTTGAAGTTGGAGGGCAACTTTTTTTGCCTGCAAGAACATCCCATTTTAACTAGCTACAAAAAAATGCAACTGAATCACAGAATCTTAGGAGTTGGAAGGGACCTCGAAAGATCATCCAGTCCAATCCCCCTTGCCAGAGCAGGATCACCTAAACTAGATTGCAGAGGAACACGTCCAGGCGGGTTTTGAATGTCTCCAGAGAAGGAGACTCCACAACCTCTCTGGGCAGCCTGTTCAGTGCTCTATAATGCCACTTTGATTTTGGAAAGTGTAGTAACAGTTCTGAATTGGGTCATAAACTGTCTATCCCGGACCCTGCACTGTACAGACCCACCAATAAATTTGTCCAGGCTGGAAATCTCATTCTGACTACAATATTATTGAGTGCAAACGGGGAGAGAGATAACTTTCTTACTATTTTTCACTTAACCAAGTTGTGGTCTCTGGATTACACAGCTAAGACTGGGTACCCTAACTTAATACACAGTTCCTTCTTAAATTACATGGTCATAGGCTATATAATTCATCAAGAATTCTGTTCCTATAATTCAACCAAAAAACCAGTCTGCAAAACCTAGTCAACATTCAAAATTATGTTCAGTATAAAAACAAAGATCATACCTTAATGGATACTTTGTGCTTGGTGAATGATCGACTTTTTAAAAGCTGGTAAATGCAGTGAATAGGTAAAAACCCAGTAATGTTGGCACTGAGATTGCCTGTAACAGGCACGCGAACTGCATGGGCCGTAACAACCTAAAGAAAAGTTATCATTAACAACAAAAAGACCCCAAATATTCACCTTATCACAATGCATAAGCACAAGGTGAGAAAGGTGCACAGCTACGTTGGTTCTGGCATTTACTTATTTTTGGTTGTTCAGAACATGAAAAACACTTTTATGTATTTCAATGCAGTATGTGTAAAACTGTAGCACACTTACTACACCTGTGAACCATTTCCTGCTACTGCAAAACATAATGTCACGGTGGACAATTTTCCTCCTTTGCTTCCCCATTATTTAAAAAAGCGAAGCGTTCAAAAAGCATACTTGGATCAGAGTACAAAAAGAAAGATCCAAGGCTCTTCAGTAGCAGCAGGGCTTGGATTCTTCTTGTAGGTCAAACTGAAGCAATTACAGAAGAAAGAAAAAAAGAAAGAAAAAAAATAGGAAAAAAAAAAGACCTGGGCTTGAAATACCTGCTCAGTGAAAATCTCCTGTGTGAAGATTGTCTTCATTCTGCTGAGCGAGCTGGGCTTAATGACAATCTGGAACAAAGAACAAAGTACTTCCAATTTTAAGTTCTAGCTTTCTTATTCGTAAGTACTGCAAATTTATTTTATAAACTGTTAACTCTTAACCTTTTAAAATCTGCCTTCATTGGGATACCAGGAAAACAGTCACATCTAAACACCAAATATAAAACGAATCTTTTCAAACGTCTCAAGTTCACCAGTCCAGGTCTTCCTTATCTTAAAGCTGTCTACCCAGCTTTTACATTTGATGAGACACAGTTTCGTGATAGTAAACTGAAGGCAAGTCTCCCTTAGTAATTTTCAAAAATTAATTACTAATTTTAATTTTTTTTCTTAAACAAAAAGTTTGCCACTTAGTTTGGAAACTACTTCAATTCACCTCCTAAAGAGTTTACTTCTCGCAAATACTGATTTCACCAAGTCAGCGCTTTTTGGAGATACTTTTATTATAACACACCTCTGTATCAAGAGGTATGCATAGTTTAATGTTTCTCTAGAGGAACTAATTTATTTAGTTACTAACTTTTTTACTCTACCTTTGCTTTAAGTATATTAGCAAAATCAAAGTTCTTTATATTAAAAGTAAATACAAGAGTATTATACAGAGTAAAAAGTGAATTTCACGGAAAGCACGCGCTAGAAATAGTTGAGGATTTACCTTCATTCCCAAGGTGGAGCAGACCAAATCAATGATAGCGCTGAGCTGATTACTGTGGAAATACATGGCTACCAAGAGAAGCATCTCTCCAAAAGAAGCAGATACACCAGAAATGCTAATGATAACAAAGAGGAAGAGTTAATTTCCAACAGGACATAAGTAAATGCGAGATTACTGGAATCATTCAAAACAAAAGCAGCTTGCTCTCACCTCTCGAAGTAAGCTTCCTCCTTTATCATCCAACTCAGCCACATTACCATCAGTTGCTCCTGTTCTGGGGTGCTGCACAGAGAAAAGCCATGAAAGATCCTTTTCCCAGGAACTACCACTAGTTTTACTAACAATTACTAGCAGAAAAGCCAGTATTTGAGAAATCTTATGCCAGGAAACTTTTTGTCACTTTCACTGTCGCATCAAATAGCTGACAAGCACCAATATTTAACACAAACTTCAGCCCAATTATCAAGCAATCTCCTGTCTTGAATGCACAAAGCAGAAAGCTACATCCTTTAAATACCTGTAGGGTGACTCTTTTGAACAGGATCTCAAAAGAATTTGGCCATAAACTTGTTCAATGGAAAAGTGAAATAGTAACGCCTACTTTAGCCTTTAAGAACCACTCCAAACTAAGCTAATGCCAATGCTCCCCTCTCAAAAGATTTGCTGTAAACAACAAGGAGAGCTGAGCAGGGTTGGGGGGGAATATCAATTTACTCATCATAGAGTGACAAATCCCTTCAATAAACATTGATTGAATCATTGAACATTGCCTTAACAGTGCTAGAACAGCAGCATCTTTACAAAGCTCCTCCTTTATTGAGAGGTACCTGACAAGAGTGGAGAAGGCCAGCAGCATACAGAAGGAAAGAGACACAAAGCGAACACCAGCTGGGGTTGCGGGAGGTCGGCTGGTCATGAGCTGCAGGAGCTGCTCAGCTTCTTCATCAGTTGGCCTGAACAGGATGGGAAAAAACCAAAACTCACCCTGCTGATTTAAGAGTGAACAGATTTCCAACCTTATCACAATGGCTAAAGATTAAATTTTCTGTTATTTAATGTTTTTCAAGTTGCTATCAACAAACGAGTTATCAAGATTAACTGGCAATTCTCTCTGAACTTAAAACCATAAAAATCTGTTATGGGATAACAACGGTGAGAAAACTCCCCTAGGATATATTCTTGCCCATTAGTACAAAATACCTAAATTAAAACTAACAATGCATGAAGATCACACACCATTAGTGCTCTCTAAAAACGAAAAGCAGAGGAACAGAAATTCTAAATTCATGCAGTGCACATTGCCAGTTTTCAGCTGCCTTCTCTTCTTCACATTGCTTCAACTACTTTGGCCTAGACTTTTAAGAAGTCAGTGAAACTCATTTTGCAGCATTAAAGACAGCACCATATTTCTTGCATTATTTTTTATATTAAAAATCAGCAAAGTTGATAAATGGATCTTTACCATCAGAACATAAAAACTTTGCTGCTGAGAATAGTACTAGAAAGTAAAAAAACACACACCTGTCTCCACAGACATTAGCATTATGTGATATTTGCACTGTAAGTACCATATATACTATGAAAACTATATATTTTATATATAAAACATACATTATATTCTATATATTGGATATATGAAATATATACTATACAATATATATAATACTGCACTATAAAGAAACTTTCATCAACTGGCAACTCCAGCCCTCAGCACATGAGCAGGGTCTCCCCTAGTACTATAACTGGCGAGTCCTGCCACGACTGTTCAAAAGACACAAGGGCATCAAGAGACAGCTCACGTTAGAAGTGCCTAAAGCTCTCAAGCTCTGTTTAAATGGACAGACAGCAAATAAAAGGGAGAGCATTGAAACATTCATTACTTCAGCCCAGCAATTCCCATCAAAGCGCAATAGAGACGTAACAACGCGCTGGCTTTCACGACATGCTCTTCCTTCAGTCCTGAATACACAGACACATTTGGCTCCATATCAACATCTGCTTCTTCCACAATGTGTGTGCTGCGAACCGTGGGAAGGATTCCCATGAGCTCCAGGAGCAGCTGCCGCCTCATTTGCCAAAGCACGGAACTGATATTATCTCTTTTTCTCTGGGTAAGAAGTGAAAAGGTGAGAACAACAATGTAAAACTCATTCCACCAAACAATGCATTACAATAAGAGCTTCCATAATGATGAAGTCAAAAGGAAAAAAAAGGAAAGGAAGAGGAATTTTTTTTTAAATGAAATTTTCAGTACCAGAGCAACAGGCAACACACGATCACATTACAACAGCTTGTGACAACAAAACACAAGCTTTAGTTAACTCAGCTAACCAGGCAAGTCAAGACACAACTTCCTGTTGTGAACACAGGATGAACGTATTCATCAGGTTAACATTACGAACTTACAGCTACCTTACAATGATGTTTCCATACCTAAAGACCTCTCAGAGGAACAAACAGCTGCCTTCAGGGATCCTACTTACAGACCTGATGGTCCCACTAGAATTGGTTCCCTTGTAAAGGCTGCTCCAAGACATGCAACAGGATTTATACGCATTCAGACAAACATGGGTGTGCACATGCAGAAGAGTTATAGCAAGCTGTAAGAATACTTTTTGAAACACAGAATATTTAGAGATTTTCATACCTGTTGGCCATTTCGGATAAAAGTTCCAAACCAAGTTCGAACTTTTGCATTTGTTCCAAGTAGCAAACCACTCACAAAACACACCAGGTCACTCACTCCATCATCTGAAGATTCATTTTTGGTGTGATCCAACGTCAAAGCCACACCAAGACCTGGCAGATGGCACTCCTCCACCTAGATAAAATGCCCAGGCTCAGTCACCTTTTTTGTTTTTAAAGCTCCAGTAAGGATCATAACTACGACTCTCACGACAGACTCACCACCATGCCTCGGACCCTCAGAGCCTGGGAAGGGTTCATTTTACAGAGATGACGAAGTGCTTCTGTTCTCCGACGGCCTCCGACGCTTTCCTCATCCTGGCGTTCACCATTCTTAATCAAACCTCTGCAGACTTAAATAACCAACGAGAGGTGTCAGTAAATCTGCCCTTCCCAACAGAAAGCCATGTAAACAAAAACACACAAAGCCATGCTGTTCTGTTCAGCTCACGACGATTCATTAGCTGAGCCACACAGACCTTGTCCAGGCAACAACTCACAAACTACACCATGAAAGCAGAACACAGAAATGATGTTTCTCCTCAGAGAAATTACAGGGTCATTACAGATTTATGCATCATCCAATTACTACTCATACTCTGTCTAATGTAACCTGTGCATGTGGCAGCCCTGGAGACTGAAATCTTATTGTGGGGTAAGGGATGCTAAACAGGCTCCATCAATACAAATTTTTCACCTCGTATTGTGGCTCAGTCTGAGGGACGAGAACTATTGCCAAGGACAGACCAGGTTCATAGTCCCAGTCGTTCACTGCCCCAGCTTCTGTAACAGCGACTACAGAGGAAAAGCTGCACCACACACACGAGTCTACATGCGGGCTGCAAAAACGGGAATTCACATGATGAGAATGGGAGCCCATCAGCATCTCTAGGTCTAAATGTATTCCAGTTATATTTCGTAAGCCAAACGCTCTCCTGTTCAAATATTTCTGACACGTGGTTTAGCCCAGAATTAACTATACTGCCAGAAATAAATTTAAACCTTTAGAAAAAGTAAACTGGACAAGAAGAAACCGTAACTCACCCTCATTAAAGCTATCAGGAACGTTGGCCACCAGAAGGCAGAGGAACCAGGCTCCGTTTCTAACGTGCAACAGAGCTTCAGCCACATCAACTATCGGCAACAGCGACGGCAGCTCTGGATAAACAGAGGGTTTTAAAAGTCACAGAGTTTCACTGTGAAACAAGGAAAACCATGCTTTTAATATGCATTTAAATTACATGCTCAATGACTGAAAAATCTGTTCCTCTTTCAAAGAGCTGGGCAGCTTTGATTAACCTTAAAATCAGTCACAACGGCTCCAAAAGTTATTTTGTTACATTTGTAAGAGGTTAAAAAACACTAGAAACACAAAATACTACACCTGCTTGCAAAATGCAGAGAACATCTGCTGCCTCCTCCAGGTAAACAGGACTTTCGAAGAGCTCAGAAGATTTGAGAAAAAACTCACCATTCGATTCTGACACCTGCAAGACAGTTTTCATCATCACTGAACAGGTTTTATGAAGTGATTTGTTCAACCAGTCTTTTATGGCTTTAAACTCAGCAGATTGAATACACTAAAAACTGTCAAAAATGTACAGCTATAAATACAGAACGGGCAAGAAAAGTGCTTAGAACAAGAAACATTTACTAGTGGGACTACTTCAATATGGCTGGTATCATCGCTCATTTCCAGAAGAAAAAGAAGTAGCTCACTGACAACTCTACAAACATGGGAAGGTTACACGAGGAAAATGAAATACTGGGAGGGTGAGGAAGAGGGGGTAGGAAAAGAGAAATGGCTAATATTATGCTGCAATAGGAGTAAAGAACTGGATGAAGAAAAGCCACAATTTCGCTTTCAAACGTGATTTCTGCACTGATACATTGCAAAATCACATTAGAGTACAGCGTATTACAGAACACAGAGTCTGTATCATATTAGAAAAGATCACCCTTGTTTGTTCTGAGGTAGAAAGAGGCCCTGTAGGAAGCTGGGCTCATCAGCAGTTTAATTGCAAGCCACTGTTCAATCAGACTGAGACTGTGAAGCAGGTAAGAACTGCAAAAAGAGTACTCACACACAGCAGCAGCCGCAGACACAGAAGCAAACAGCACATCTATCCAGACCTATCCAGAGTGCATTTTCACTAACACAAAACTCACAGGTGCCCAGATATGGAGAAATTTACCTTATTCATAATTGCCAGTAATTCGCTAAGTACGAGACGAAGCCGACGTGGTGAATCGCTGTGTTCAAATTCCAGTGTCAGCCCATGCTGAAGCTGCGACACCAAGATGCTTTCTCCGCTCCCTCCTCCCAACTTGTGCCTAACAGACAATTTAAAACCACCGTTATGTATTTTTGCAAATGCTTTCCTGCCTGCCCTCAACCCAAGCAGCTCCCCACGCACCCCCACCCATGGTGTGGCACAGGGAGGAAAAGATCCCCAAGACAAACAATGAATCCCGGATCCCTGGGTACGCTGCGCGGCCAAAACCCGAGCTTTTCCTCAGAGATTTATCAGGGTACACGGATGGTCGGGTCCACCCAGCCCTTCACAACAGCCGGAGAAACCACACCGCGGCTTTCTCTGCGTTACCGGAGCTGCTGCTCTTTGCTAGCGTCCTGCTCCAGGGCGTGGAAGTCCACGGAGAGTAAGGCCACGATGGAGTTGACAGCCTCCACCCCCGAGAGCAGCCGCAAGATCAGCTTCTTGTCCTGCGCCCAGCTCTGGCTCTGGTCGGCGGGGGCGCACAGGGCCATGCGCACCAGGCAGGGCAGCAGCAGCCGCAGCTCGGGGGCGCTCAGCGCGGCC